CCCCAGTTAAAAAACCAAAACCCCCCCCCCCCCCCCCCGAAGCCTCTCTAGTCAAGTAGTTGGATTGTGATAATTAACAAATACATGGGACCAGATCTTGAGGCCTGGGATACTCTTTGACAGCCCACAAAATTCAGTGGCATTGCTGTAACCTCACGCCATGCAAAAATCAATTGAGACAGGTGCATTTTGCATTGGTGTATTTCCACAGAAAAGGATCTAGATTCTACAAAACAGTTCTGTTGTTTCACTTTTGCAAGTAGCCTGTTACCTTGAGCGGGACTCTGACAAATTCACACACGTGACTACTTCCAGCTTCATGTTCTAGGGTAACAGCTTCTTACCTGTGACCATCATGAAGCAAAACCATCTGAATACGTGCTGATTGCAGCAGTAATTCCATAATAAGCACTGCAGCTTTACGATAGCAAAAAATCTCAGTGAGCAAATGTGTATTTTGGACAGCACGAAGCCCAAAGTATTTCACAATGAAAAAGAAAAGGTATCGATCACTTCAGGCCAGACACCCCACACCCAGTGAAGGAGATGCAGAAAGAAGGAGGTTTCCATGGAGGAAGCCAGATGAATCGTATTGTATCAAACATCACTTTCTAGGCATATGCTGAGATTTAAAACCTTCAGAAAAGTGCCTAAAATTGAATGGAGTAAATTAATTTTTCTCTAGAACACTTTCAGCACAAAAATTCCCCCTTTCCTAATACTGTGTCTATAGACCTGCTTACTCTTCTTCAGATAACAACACTGAAAGGATCAAAATATATATGGTTTTCATCAGTTCAGAGCAGACATCACTAAACAGCGATCTGACAGAACAGTTCCAGTCCAAGAAATCAATACTGATGCAGCAGTTTGTAGAGAGAAATAATCTCTTTTAGTGGACCAGAAGACAACAAACTGATCTAGTAAGATTAAAAAAAAAAAAAAAAAAGGACAAGCACTCAAGCGTTTTTCCTGACTAATATAAGATATTGCTTACAGATGCTGTAGTCCTGTATTCACAACAAAACGCATTCCGATGTGGCATGCTGTGCTGCCATCTTGGGGGCAGCAGAAAACACCACATCTCAGTAATTTTCATTTCTGCAACACTAAACGAGCAAAGGACACAGTCCCCACACAGATAAAACTTCCTTTCCTCTCCCTCAGTCATTTTTGGAAATAAAGAGAGGCTAGAACATACTGGTAACAGTAATCAAATACTACTAAATTCAGCATAGGAAAACTTGGCTTCACCTATAAATTTCAAGATAGGCAGCTTAATGCAAACTTAGTTCAAGGATGCAGCCGCCCAACAGTCAGCTCAGCTTTTTCAAATGGGCAGTCAGTTCCTCATGAGCTAGAAGAGAGGTCCTGAAAAGGTCTGGCTTTAAAAAGCCCTACAATATCTATTACAACATTTTTGCAGAATAGGAGTTGTAAGACAACACAGAACAAATAGTGACCACAAGTCACAGAACACTCTGCCTCCGAATAGCCTGAATTCATACCTGGGCCTCTGCTAAAAATGTCTTCACAGTTAACCTCACCATTAGCTCACAAAACAAACCTTAGGCAAGCACAGGACATCCATTTCAAGAACTTTCCATGTAAGAGGGCATCTTTGACATCTTCCTTGCACTTTGGAGAAAGAGAATGGATTGTATCTTTATCAGGGCTGGATAATCACCTTGGCATTCAGAAGCCTAGCTAATCCTGCTGCAGAGTAGAGGACTTGGCTTGTTTAATTCATATTTGGGACACAGTCATGTGGGATTCAGATCTTTTTATGGAACACAGAGCACAGCCCACAGTGTGCAGCTAAGAGTGTTTGTCAGCTTCTGGTTTTGATTAAACCCTAAATGATGCAAAAACTTTTTCCATCCTTGCTCTTTCAGTGTTCTAGCAGACCACTTTAAGGCAAGTTGAAGTAGATCAAGCAAGATGCTGCTGTGTAAAGGTAGGATCACGTTTTAAATTTGCACCGTACCTTAATCCAAGCTAACTTTCAAGCCATGTTTGCATCTATCAGCTGCTGAGGGTCTATCAAGATACAGACATGGAATGTAAGGCTCTGCAACTGGATTATCATTACTGAGCAGCTAAAAGAAAAACCATCGGGTAAAACCAGATGCGGCTTCTTACAAGATGAAATTACCTCCACAAAACCTTTTCCATAGCTTAACAACTGCCATAGAACACATCTGTGCACCAATGGTGCTCTGGATTTCTGCAGAGATGTATTTCAACAAGAGGAACTAAAGTCCCACGAAATGAATGCAAAGACAAGCTAAGAATTGGACACCTACTTCCTTGAGGGGATTAAAAATAACTGGAATCTACCTGAAAACCTGTAAGAATATGTATTCCTATTCAGTAATGTTCTCTGATGGGGGGTGTGAGTATGCACGTGAATATCTCTATATAGATGCTTATGTCTCCTCACTGTCAGCAAGTGTTAAAGACAAATGTTTTGCAACTAGAAAATGACACAAACCTTCACAAATGAAATACCTTCCATTTATAAACTGAACAGCTTGTTTATGAGAGTGTGCTTCATAACACCACAGTTTACCTTTATAAACATCCTATTAAAAAGTAAGTTCAGCATCAGGGCAGAAAAAAACAGAAGCAAACCACATAGAGTAAAATTCTTTGCCGGTGGTTAGTGCCACAACCTTATTCAGCCCCTGTACCACAAAAAAGACGGATCCTTCCCTTTGAAGAGTCCTACATAAAGAGCGCTACTATGCAAAGGTGACTCTGCTAGGCTTACCATGCTGGGTGAGGTACTCGACTATATTCCACACAACTATTGGGATGCCGTTCTTGCTCAGTCCCTGCTGCTGGAGCTCCAGAAGACTCACACCAAACACCTTTGGACAGGTTGTGTCCCTCTGCTTGTTCAGTGGAAGTGCAGCTATCTTTTTCATGTCCTCCTTCAATCTCACAGCTGATTTGCTTTGCTTCAAGGAGTAGAGGAAAAGAAGCGCATTAGTCACATTTGCTGCAGAAGGTGGCATAGTCACAACATAAGCACATCCATCAAAAGTGGCTTCAATGCTCCAGAATAAGGCTTTGGTCTTACTTCCTTTTAATTCACAGGAAAACCTCTGCGAAGTAGGAAAGCAAAAATGAACAGAGAAAAATCTAGAAGAGTAACTAACAGTAAAAGAACATAAGTGGTCTGTAGTTAAGGTAAGGGACAAAGACACATTTTTGTATACAAGCTTGTTACTAGAGTAACAAGTAATCGGGAATCGCAGGAGACTGCTGCTGTAACTCAGGCAGTTCACACGGGTGACAAAAGCAACTGGACAAACACGAACACAAAAAAATCCCAATATGCCACCATTAGTGCAGGTAGTGTCCAAGATGCCTGTCAGAGTCTGGCAGAGTACTCTGGGGAAGGTTCACTGCACCCTTCTTCCAGATGCTGTTCCCTAGGGATTCATTTTGCCCACTGTCAGGTGAGATGGATCCTTATGAAAGATTTTATTGTACGCTTAGTATCTGCTAAGTCTGAAATTTAATCACCGAGGTTTTAAGGTTAGAAAGGGACTATGTAACCTAATCACACATAATAAGGGGGGTGGAAAAAACACTCCTCAATAAACCCTTAATTGCAAACATCCCATAGGTTCTTCTGGAGGCATAACATTCTCACAAGTTTTGAGTTGCAGTGACACAAAAAATGTGAGAGCATAGCCAATAAAACCCAAGGGAATAACATAATATAGGATTAATTTATAGAACCAATAATAGGCAGAAATCTAAATGAGCATACAGTATTGCAAGTTTGGAAAGACAGCTCAAGGCAGAGCAGCAGCATCACCCACCACAGCTGTGAATTCCATACACACCTAAGCATTATTTCACTAATACAGGCAAGCACAATACAACTCAACAAACCTCACTCAAGGGGAAAAAAAAAAAAAAAAAGTAGTAGGTTTTTCTATTGATGAATTTCCTCTTGTTTCTTACATCACACTGCAGGAACCAGGGGCCACTGCTACCAAGGAGTTCAATCTGTTTGTTTCAGAAGTCCACCACTAGCGTGATGCTTATAAATGAACTTATTCCTACTGTGTTTTATTAACAAACAGGTAGTAGGAACCTTACAGATAGAGAATACTGTACAGTAACAAAAAGAAGTACTCAGTCTCTTACCTAGGTCTTGGCGCATGACTGCATTAAGACAGATTTTAGTAAGGCATATATCTCTTATTTTAAACAAACCCTTGAAACCTCTTCGTTTGTGAGACGATATTTTTACTGCAGTCTGTAAGCAACATGAAAGTCTGCATCGGTGCTGCTATTAAGCACAACTGTCCTTTTTTCAGAAATAAATTGATCTGGCAGTTCACTCACTTTGCTATGTTTTTCCCATTAAACACAGCTATTTGGAGCAGATGCATGTTCTGCAGTCCCAGGTCCTATGCAACACTTATCTCTACAAAAGATGCTGCTTGTAAAAATGTCATAAATGTGTTTTATTATTTGTGAAACAGAATGGCAATATATAAATAAAACCAGCATTATTGTGACCACCTTGCAAATATTTACGATAAACAGTACATGCATCAGTGCTTGAACTAAAATTGGACTGACTTATTAAAATATCACATCTCTTTTAAAAAGAGATGTCTCCACTCAAGATTAAACTAATAATATATGATTTTTCACTCCAGGCAGACACACGCCAAGGCAAAAATCATGTAGCCTGAGTTAAATTCAGAAAACAGCAAAAATCCTTTGAGCAGTTTCTGAGCAGCTCTGATGCTCAGAGAGCTTTTCCAATTAAGGCCTCCAATGAGCTTCACAATCTTGCCGAGCTACAGGTTTCCAGCCTGTTTCTGTTTCAGCGTTTGAAAACCTGAGTCACAGAGCCGGATTTACTTTGGGAAACTCACAACTTAAATTTGCAAGAGAACCAAGAGTCTCTTCCCATGTCCACAGGAACAGCAGAGGAAATTTTGAGCTTGTTTCAGGAACTGGAGAGGATGTGCTAACTAGGAGCAAAAAATTAAGCAGAGTTACCCAAAATATACATGTAACCAACATCAAAATGAAATCACCCCCTCAACACAGCTCCAGAAGAAAGAGTTCAATGTTATATGATCTTATAGATGGAAGATCTGATTTTACACACGGAAAATTTGTCCAAATATTAATGCAACTGTTACTGATCACCAAAACTGGAAAAAGCAACTCAATCACCTCTGCACGTTACCGCCGCAAAGTACCGCCCAGACGACATGACTGGAGTTGAGAAAAAGCTATTTATATGCAACAGGGACCCACTTTTTCAGCTCATCCAACAACCTTAAGACAGGGAACGACACAGCGCAGCTGCTCGCTGGCTTTTAAAAA